TTGAACAAATGGATAAACAAACCTGACTCCCTGAGGGATGGGAGTGACAAGGCAGAAGAGCCCAGCTATCAGGATCGCTTAAAGACTCACTCGTCTGAGGTAAAAATCCCAGATTCATGGTCAACCCTCCCTAGGTCCTTTAAGTGTAAACAGTCCTGTTGCTCAAGTATAGATCTTCAGGTTGTCAGTCATGCAGTAATTAAAGAGATCTCATTCTAACGTGAATCAATTATTTTCTCTTCTCATTAGAATTCAGATCATTACCAGAAAACAAACAGGATATCGTGGTGCCTCAGGGGTCTAAACCTCGGCCACGTCTGAGTCCAGCTGAAGACCTTTGATGCATGTCATCCCCTCTCTCCCTTTCTCTCTCTCTCTCTTTCTCCCCTCATTTCGTGCCACATCCCTACCATCCACTCTTTAATCCAGGCAAATAAATACACGCTGCTACAAACACCACAAACTACAGAAAATCATGGATGGTGTCAGACAACCGTTACATCTCTAAACAAACATTAAAGGAGTTCATGTTGTTTCTCTGCCATTGCATTAGCAGGATGCAGTCTCCAAGTCCACATTTAGGCGGAGGCTGGATGGGGTGACAGCTACAGGATGGATTTCCAACTGGGCAAAGGAGGCATCTGATTCACTTTGCGTCAGCTGGTGCTAACAAGATCATTCTCTGTTACCTGGGGACTCTTGGTCCAAAATGTAGTTTTGTAAAATGATTTATAATTCAAGTTGATATTTTGTTTAAATGGTTTGAATTCCCTGATTTAGTTGCAGTTAATAGCAAACTAATTTACACACCAACAAACCTGAGGTCAGTGATATTCAAGGAGGAGAGTGCTGTTTGGTCACTGGGGCTTTAGACAAAATATAATTAAGAGGTCTTGTTTTTTTAGCCACATTAAAGCTATGCTAGTGTTAATTTACCATTTTATTTTACTTTTGTTCCTTTTATTGGTTTTATATGTCTTACTTTTATTTTTTTATTTATTTTTTTATCACATTTTATTCCTTCTTAAATAGTTTTATTTTACACATTTTTACTGATCGGTTGTTACTTAATTATTTTATTTTCTTAATGGTTTTTAATCATTTCTGTGTTTTGAATGTGTGTCTCATGCTTTATCTTTACACTATCCACATAGTTTTGTGGTTGCAAATTCCTTGATAACTCATGCTTTGTGCAACATTCCACCTGGAATGAAATGTGCTGTATAAATAAAGTTTTGCTTTGCTTTGCTTGCTATGGTAAACATTACACCTGGTAAACATCAACATGTTAGCATGTTGTTAGCATTTAGCTCAAGTACAGCCTCACAGAGATGCTAGCATGGCTATAGGCTTGCGTTCTGTGTGTGGTGTATTCAACTATTTTACCGTTTTTGCTTGTGTTATGCTTTGTGGCACAAGGAGAAATGCTCTTAACTAAAACAAAGAGAAGCTCCTCTTTTGTGCATAAAAAGCTAAAAAAAAAAAAACCTTTTAGAGTGGAAGACCGTGGAGTGACTGAAAAAGCCAATGCAAACAAGGTTTCATTCTCCTCAGTAAATGGAGAGAGAAATGCAGCTTTAATTTATGCTCAGGAGACAGTGGCACCTCTAAAGTCAAAGCTGCGAGTGCGCTTCAGTTTGTAACAAAGGTGAGAAAATAGGAAGACAGCGAAACACCTTCACCCTTCTGCTAATGTCAGATCGTCTCTGCGATGGAAAAAGACACTTATAATCAACAGGGGTGTAGAAAAGCTTTATTACCTACCTCAACCCAACAGATCAATCCGTAAGATAGACATCAAGTTTCATCTTCATTATAACACAGCTAATAACACAGCAGCACTGCTCTGGGTCAACAGCAGATGGTCTTCTTAATTTGTAACCAGGGGGTGTGAATGAGACAGAAGTGAATTTTGGATTTCACAAATTCCCTCATACCACAACAGGCTGTCATTATTTTGACTATAAAATAAGCTCAGTACAAGGTTTTTTGCCAGAAAACAAATGAAGGGATTCATTTTCCTGCAAGTGTACAGTATATCTGTGTTTGCGTTTTCCATACACTTCAAGGCATCACTGAGGAAACTGCGAGCTTGATGAAATCTTCACAAGACAGTCAGACTCTTCAGAAGCTGTCACACATATCAGGGATTACGCCTCATTAGAGCAGCACTGAAAAGCAGCACGCCCCCCACCCCCACCCCCCACCCCCCACATCATTTCTCCACATGTTGGTTTTGATTAGTCTTTTTACCTAAATTGTGACACCCTCCCTCTCGATCTCATCCTCCCAGTCAGAGCTGGTGGTGTTTCCCTGTCTGCTACACCCGCCAACAGCGGCTGATTGTTCCTCCTGAGCTGCAGGGAGCCATCAGGGATCCCCCCGGGGGCCGCTCATCCCTGAATACTGTCTCTCCACAGCATGGCATAGTGGCATATAGAAGGTCCTCAAGCCCCTTGTTACCAACTGTGACTGGAGGGCAATGGGCACAGATGGTGGCGCACTCTGTTCGGCTGCCCCTGTCACACTTGAGCCGTAGTTTTCATCCCAAACTGACTGTGGCACAAAAAATAATGAGTGCAAGGAGCAAAACCATATGTGCTGTTGTGCTTTAAATGTAACTGTGTTATTAGAAATGGTTACATAAAAACACACCAGTCATTACTGGTAAATGAGCAAATGAGAGTCATAATTTTTCTCCCCCAAAATTTATTTCTGGTGTTGAATATGCTAAATTATCAGCCCACAGAGGGGCAATTAATATGGCAACAAAACAGTCTCCTGAACAGCAGAGAGAGAGAGAGAGAGAGAGAGAGAGCAGAAAAAGCTGGACCCGCCAGCATTAGCGAGATCTCTGTTTTGATATCAGGCATCACAGACCAGCTGGTTTTGGCAAACACAAGTGTGCTGTGTGATTTGAAGCTGCCCACATGTGTATAGTGTTAGGTTTCCCACATATGTGCCATCTCTGAGCCAAATCAGACACTGTTTCACTGTTGTTCAGCACGTTGTGATGCAGTTGAACTCCCCAACATCCTCTGCGACAACAAAAGCCATAATCTATCCACGTGAGAGCTCTCTTTTTCAACTCATCAAAATAAAACCCTTATTGTCTTCCTGTCACCGGCAGAAAGTTTTCAGATAAGCAGCGCTCCAATATGAAGACTCAGCTGGAACAATACTGAATTTAATATCAGCAAACCTTTTATTTTAAGCTTGCTGTGCAACGCCCATAAACCTCAGCAAACTGTCAGAGTCCATATCCATGGGTTTAATGTGACGCTCATTAAATATCATAGAATAAGATTTTTTAAATATTTGAACAAATGAAGTTTGTGACAAATTTCAACAGTAAAAACTGCAGTGATTATAAAAATAACCTGAAAACCTGAGGGGGGGGTCTCCCTGATGTGTCATGCTGGATGAGGATTTTCCACAAACTGCTAACCTAAAAGTTGCTGTTATTAATGGCTTATAAGTAATCTGTAAAGCATTACTTAATGATTTATTAACCAGTGATACAGCCATGACTTACCACTTATAAAGCCTCTATCAGAAAATGTTACAGAGACATGCTGGATGTTTTCTTAGTGTTTGAACCACAAGTAACAGCCTCTTTGTACTTGCCGTTTGAGCAGGGGAAGGTATACTCTTTAATGCAAAACTACACAGAAAAAGGTGCTGTGTTGTTTCTGGTTGTGCTGGTTCATAATTCTGGGTTGCTTGGTGTACTATGAACACACTGTTGGATTGCTCATGCTGGGTCAAAGGGGTTTTTAAGGGTTTCATTCACAGCTGACCAGCAGGTTGGATGACTTTGACCCAGCTGCTCCTTCAATCATTTTCATCCATTCCATTAAGTTATGTATAGAACATACAGGGGTGGACGGTAACAAAGTACATTTACTTGAGTCCTGTACTTAAGTACATTTTCCAGTATCTGTTCTTTACTTGCGTATTATTTTTTTTAGAAACTTGTGGTTTTTACTCCACTACACCTAAAACACAAAATATTGTACTTTTGACTCCACTAGGTTTCTATGAAGTATTCTTACTTTGAAGCAGAGCTTTTAGTCAGAGGAATTAATTTTCTTTCATTCTGAAAATGTGATAGACCATACACTGTGTTCATCACAGCCAACTCCTCCACTGTCAGCCATGTTTGAACCTGTCAGCGTCCTAACGATGGCGACGTTAGATAAAGATGAGGCAGAAGATTCTTCACCAGAGACCATCGTCTGATCTGAGGTCTGTGTTTGAAGCTTAAGAAATAAAGAAAGATTCATCTAGTTTGAAATGTTTGCTGTGTTTACCACGACCAAACTTCATCACTGACTAGAAAACAAAATGAAATGTCTCCTTTTGTTGATTCAATTGTGATTTATGGACATTTCTACAGACTTTGAATCATATCCTACAAGCTCTTTATTCTACAGTCAGTCAGTCAGTCGGTCGGTCAGTCAGTCAGTGGGTTGTTTCAGAGTCATTAGGTTCTGTAAATGTGTACAATGTGTCAACATAAAAAAATGTACTTTTTAAAATCAAGTACTCCAGTACACTAACTTTAACTCAAGTAAAAATCTGACGGAAGAACTTTCACTTGTATTGGAGTCATGTTTGGCCGAGAGGGTCTATAGTTTAACTCCAGTAATGAAGCTGTGTACTTCCTCCTCCTCTGATAATATATTAGATTGAAATTTAAATTCGTCGTTGAAAAGAAAATGGGCCAACACACTGTTCTGCACCTGTCCACGTCTGACGTCAGAGCCACGTCGTTAAAGTAAGGTGCTGTCCAGGGTGCTGAATCCTGAGCCACCTCTTTCAGCACGGAGCAGCCACAGCCGCAACAGGTGTGTGTGTGTCTCTGTGTGTGTCTGTGTGAGTAAAGACTCGGGACATATGGATTGAGAACAACATCAAAACATTTCACATTTTTACTAAAGAGAGATTTTTTCAGAAAAGCTGTAAAATCCGACACAAACTTTTTTTCTCTGCTCGCTATGGATCTGCTCCCAGCCCAGGAGGCCGCCAAAATCTACCACACCAACTATGTGAGAAACTCCCGCGCCATCGGCGTCATGTGGGCCGTGTTCACCATCTGCTTCGTCATCATCACCGTGGTGGTCTTCATCCAGCCCTTCTGGATCGGGGACAGCGTCAACACCCCGCAGGCCGGATACTTCGGCCTCTTCCACTACTGCATCGGCAACGCGCTGACCTCGGAGCTCACCTGTAAGGGCAGCGTGCTGGACTTCAGCTCCATCCCCTCTCCGGCCTTCAGGACCGCCATGTTCTTCGTCGGAACCTCCATGCTGCTGATTGTTGGCACCATGGTCTGTTTCAGCTTGTTCTTCTTCTGCAACGCCGGGAACGTCTACAAGATCTGTGCCTGGATGCAGCTGGCCTCGGGTGAGGGAGAGGTGTGAAGCTACAGTTACTACAGCCTACTTATGTACACCTCCAATTTATGTTTCTTTATACTTCTACTACATTACATTTCAGAGGTTAATACTGTGCTTTATACTGGACTATATTTATGTGAGTTAGTTGTTTATATACAGTATGATCCATGTTTAAAATCAGATGCATAGTTACCTATTGAAATACCTTAAAGCAGCTAAAACTAACTCCACCAGCTACATTAAAATGCTGCTTACATGTTCATCATGTGCATCAATAATGATAATAATAATGATAATAATAAGAAGAAGAAGAAGAAGAAGAAGAATATACGCTATGAAATGGTTCATTCTGTTTAACCAAATACATCATTTTGTATAATTCATAGTTTCAGGTCACATTTCATTTGACTAAAAAAGCTTAGAACCCGGTGAAGCTGAGTGACAAATCTATACGATGCTGCTTTACTGTGAAGCTGGATATCAAGTGGGATTTTGATTTCCCTGCTCCCTGAAGGCAGCATGAAATGAGAAGCATCTAAACTATCTAAACTCATCTAAATTAAATCAATTGCAAATTGGTTTATCTGCTTGACCTTCATTTTGAATTAATTTCTCAAAAAGAAATCACACTAAAATCTCTAATAGGAATCCCTAAATGATCATCATACTATTAATATTCTGGCATTCTTTTAATTTGGTTGATTTTTTTAGTGTCATAAAGACATTCTGTACAATGAGTTTAAATTGGAGGTTTGAAATGAGTCTGTTTTCATGAGTTAGGGTTAAAAGGTTCAAGGGTTACCATCTGGGGAGACTTCTGCTTCTTAAAAAACCTTATATTTTGTTTTAGCATCAGCATGTAATTATCCAAATTATTCTTCAGGTTCTTTACATTTGGTCATGAAAGCACACATCCAGCAAAAAAATCATATGAATCTTTACCAAAGTTCTGCATCTTAATGTAAAAAACTCTGAGGGATGAGTGAGACCTGTGCTTCTCTCATCAACTGCTCTCTACGTTAAGTGTGAAGTGATAAACTCATGCTGTTGTGAGCCGCCTTCGCACTTCTCTGGTTTCAGGTGCGATGTGTGTCTTTGTTCTTGATGCGCTGTTCTTCACAAGGGAAGCCAATAAAGGATCCAGTTTCCGCCCAGACTCTGACACCTCTGATGGTGGATTGGTTACATGTAACAAGATCAGGTGTTGCTGTGTTGTTAACTGATCTAAACTTGCACCTGAAACATACTAGGGCCAAGGAAATTAGCCATATATAGTTGTACATGACAAAGGCCTATATAACCTGTGGTAGAAGAGGTACTCAGATAATGCAACAATGTCAAATTATTCCATTACAAGTTAAAATCCTGTATTGTGTGTGACTGACAGCTCTTTATAGATGAAATTAGATTGTTAATACTGATGCAACAATGTGTCGGCAGCCTTTTAGTGATGTAGCTGCAGGAGGTGGAGCTAAGTCATCTACTTTAGATATAGTCAGGTAGTTTAGCCCAGTGGTTCCCAACCTAAGGATCTGGGGCTGGTTGCACAAAACACCTTAAGTTAAGATTTTCCTTAAAGTCTGAGTTAAGGTTTCCTTAAAATAAAAACAGTTGCATAAAACAACAATTAAAATGTTGAAGTATTTAAGGTTTTCTACTGATCTTAGTCTTATACCTAAGGAGTCACTTAAAGTCTGTTAAACCATTGAACGAAAGACCTTAGCAACCAAAGTAAGGAAAAAACTAAAGGTACCTCTGACTCTATCTTAATTGTAACATGAATGAGTGGATGGTGATAAATGAAGAAAATGAACCGATCCCAAGAAGAGTGGGAGAACCCAGCGGACCCCCTTAACGATGAGGAATTACAGGTAGTCAGTCAGTTTATGATTTGTCCAACCGTCTAGAGTGGGATCCTCTTCTTTCCACAGCTGAATGATTGCTCTGATAGCTGAGGTAGCAGCGTACTTCTTTACTGTTTCTGTCTTCCTAAAATTGACAACAAGCATCACAAGCTAATGCCAGCAAACAAACAGTCTCCATGGAAACGATAGAATTTTACCGCTGTAAAAATCTCTTTCATTGCTGTAAATTACTTAACCTTTTTCCTCAATAAAGGAAACATTTTAATAGATTCTGTGCAACACCCTTCGGTAACTCCCTCAGCTAAGGAGAAATTAGACCTTAAGTGTCATACTTAAGTAGAAAATTTAAGGTGTTTTGTGCAACCGGGACCAGGCACTTCCAAAGAGTCACAAGATAAATCTAACGGGGTTACTAGATGATTAATGAGGTAGGAACGAAGAAAAAACAAGGTGCTGTGACACACATTTATTTATATCTTTGCATTTTTGTGACGTTTGGAACAATTTGAGGTTTATTTGGGCCTCAAACTGTTATTTAAATGAAAAGACCTGAGAAGTTTAGAGGAGAAATGCCACTTTGTTTGAACTGCTAGCAAACCATAGAAATGTTTTGATGAGGAGCTAGAGCTGCTCAGTTTTTTGTGAAGGGTCTCAAGTGTTGGGAACCATTATTTTAACCTTACTGTGTTTTATTTTCTAAGCTTTTTTCAAAATGTAAAATGTTCATTTTAATGTACAGTAACCACTTACTATATCTTTCAAGTAAATGTAGCTGTGTATGAAGTAAAAATGTATAAAGTGACATAAAATGAAAATACTCAAACCTTTGGCACTTTATGGGGCTACAGCATGCTGTATCCTGCAGTTGGGACACCAAAAAAAAACCTCCCTCATAGTAGAGTAGAGAGTAAGAGGAACAGAAGGTTTAATTATCACATTACACAATTGCCATTTCTGTGTCCTCCATCCACCGCAGCCGCGTTGATGGTGATGGGCTGCATGATCTACCCGGACGGCTGGGACGCTCCTGAGGTGAAGAGGATGTGTGGCCAGAGGACGGATAAGTACAGCCTGGGGAACTGCACGGTGCGCTGGGCCTACATCCTGGCTATCATCAGCATCCTGGACGCCCTCCTCCTGGCATTACTGTCCTTCACTCTCGGCAACCGGCAGGACAAACTGCTGCCAGATGACTTTGAGGTGGAGGGAGCAGGTGAGTGTTAATGCAAAACAGGTGAAGTCTGAAGGTACGGAACAAAAGCAGGGAAGCAAACATCTCTGGTCTTGAGCTTGGTACGGAGAGTATGAATGCTGGCTATAGGATTTGTTACAGCAGGCATTGACCATATTGTCACAGGACGGAAAAGCAGAGGTGTGTGACAGGGAGTCAAGCATGAACAATACCAGGACTGTGAAACTAAAGCAGCTTAACAACCTTCAGCCATCATTATTTTATTATTTACTGTGATTTTCTTCCACTGTGACATGTCAAAAACAATGTCTGTTACAAATCTTATCAGAGGTTTGAGAATAAAAAAAAAACTTTTAAGCTTCAAACGTCATTCTTGACCTTGGAAACAGCAATTGACAAAACAATACAACCTCAAGGTCCATTAAGTGGCTATTTTGGAGCTTTTGATCAAATCACATGATCCTCAGCAGATGGGATTTGTGCAGTTGTCATTAAAGTTGTAGATATTCAAAATTCTAACTAATGTCTAACTGCAAACCAAGAGAGAATATGTTTGTTTTTGGGGGGGTTTGCACTTATTTACAATGTGTACTCAATCTTAGCTCAGCTGAAGATGTTAATACTGACATCGATATCCATCCCACAGTTAGCTGGGTAGTTGTTTTTTTTGTTTATCTTTTGGCTTTTTGTGAGATCTACTTTTTAGGAGCGGTGAAAATTTACTATAAAATGCTCCTGCTTTCTTTGTAAATCATTGATCTTCTCCCTTTAGTGTAACTTCGGTATGATGATGGTTAGAAGCCAGCAAAGACCTAGCATCTTAAATCCGTAAGATACAGATATCTGTAAGAGCATATTTTCCTCTTTTACAGAAAACCCTTGATGGGCACACGGACCGCAGGAACTGTGTGATTCAGGTGCACTTCGACGACATTCAAGGTTCAAGAAAAGCAACTTGAAATTCCATGACGCAGATCAAACTCTTCATATTTCTTGCCTTTTTTTTTATGTTTTCTGCTTTTGTTTTCTCTTTTATGTTTTTAAGTCATAGTGATGTACGTTTGGTTAATTGGAATTTTGTAGTCCTTTACTGCTTCATAAACCCGAGAATAATATCCTATTGCAGTTAGCTTCTATACGTCATGTCAAATAGCTAATAAACTCAGAAAAACAAGCCCGACACAGTCATTTTGTATCGTATGAACATCTGTTTTATTGTATGGTGTGTTTATTTTGTGTTTGTTTTACAGTCTTGTAAAGTTGACAGCTCACACAAAGTCTATACTCTTGAATGATGTAAATTTTGTTTATACCTAGGCCTCAACAGATACATAGGTTACTTTGAAATGATCGATTTTGAGACACCATTACATAACATCAGATCTCACCATCTCTATGGTAAAAACATTGACATTATTGAACAGTTGGCCATACATACAACTGAACTCGAACACATCATCCATACGCTTTTATTAAAACACAGCTACCCAGCTAAATAATTTTAGCTAAGATATAAGATTTGTTAGAAACTGTACATAACTGTAATATACATAAAGGCAAACTCTTTGGTACAGATATATACAGTTAATTTTCACTTCTTTTTTCCTTTAAATTGGGCTTCTTAAAATGTGGTCTTGTTGAAATCTTTAAAACACTATATTCCTCAACTGTAATGGGTGTATGAGAATACCAGCCTCCCATGAGAATGAAAGATCTCATTTATTATAATTCACTAACCACACTACATACCAGGTGATAACGGATTTGTTATGGCTAAACAATATGACCTACTTTATCAGACAGTGAACGTCTCAGTCAGAAACTAGAGCCTGTCTGGAGAAATGCTGTTAACATTACCACAGTCAGTGTAAATGTCAGCCCAGTGTGCAACTTCCTATCCCTACTTTACAAATACAAAATGCATACCTTACAGGTGTAATATAAGATAAAGTAATTCATTAAAAAAAAAAAAAAAAAAAGAAAAAAAAAAGAACACAGCACTAATGAAAACGTATGAAGAAAGTGAGAGCGAGTCCTTTTTAAAGGGGACATAAATGACCAATAAAGGCTACATATCCTTGGTTTGTTTGGGTTTTAGTGCAGGAGTGTAACAAACAAGGATGAGTCACTAGCAGTACAATAACAGGTTTGCTTGGTTGGATGGGTGAACGGAGCACAGCAGTTGGAGCCAACATAACCACAAAGAAATACAATCCACTGGATTCCTGACGTCATCACACCGAGAGAAGAACCAACGAATACAAAGCAAACATACACAGAAGCATTAGCTCAATAACAAGAACATAAGAAATCCAAAAAAAACAAAACAAAAAAGAAACAAAAAGAGAAATAAATATTCATCTGATATGCCCAAACTGGAAAGTGATCTGTTGCAGTCTCTGGAGAAAGTGAGAGGGAGGGGAGGTGCAAGGGCTGGAAGACTCCACTAGAGGGCGAGCCATGGGTGGCGCAAGCACTCTGCGGCTGTGGCTCTCTTTTCAGGGATCAGCTCCAACATGGGAATCAGGAAGTCAGTGAAGCACTCGGCTTCTTCACGGGGCCACTCGTACTTGTCGATGAGCACCTCCAGCAGTCCCCACGGCTTCAGTTTTGTGATGTGTTTCAAATCCCCTGCAGACAACCACACACACACACACACACACACACACACACACACACACACACAACGCTGTATCAGAGCCATGAAGGAACAAAAACACGACATTTTACAACATGAACTCTCTACAACAAGATAGTAAAGTCTATGAAACATCAAGCAGTCTTAATATCTTGATATTACATATAGGAAATATTTTATCTTTTTAACTGTAAGTATGTCTTCCAAACAGGAATTTCTTTTGTTCCATTCAATGTTTTAAAAGGTTTTTACCAATAGAATTTAAAATAACAAAAATCATACACAACACTAGAGTATGATCCTAGGGACGGACAGGAAACTCTCACTCTCAAGACATCCAACCTTGACACTGGCATTTTTTGTTTTACCTTTCTTGGTGAAAAAATCCTTGGAATATTTGCCGGTCATTATTAGTTTGCGTGGGACACTCCCCAGCAGCTCAATGATCAGCGCTATATGGTCTACACGGCAGTAAAAGGAGAAGGAAAGACAGACAAGACAAACAACAGATTCATCAGACAGTGTCCCAGTCACAGGCCCAGCTCTGGGTGTGTGGATGGAGGGCTGGGGACGAGCAGGGTCAGGCTGATGGCGCGCACACACGGGCCAGATTGTTTGCGGAGGTCGGGGTGCACAGACCAACGGTTAGAAATCAAGGTATCGAACATGACCATCAGACATTACACGAGCTGGAAGGTTCTTCTGTCAAGAATCAACAGCTGCAGCTTTGCCTCTGCAGCCAATCAGACATGGGACGGGACACATATTCCCAATGTAGATGTGCTCTGCGGTCAGCCGTCAAGTGAGGCACCTGTTCATATACTTCAAAGCAAAAAATTCAGCTTCTCCCATCAAGTTAAAAGAGATGTTTAATCTGTTATTTAAATCTGTTGAAGCCATTGATATCACAGCTTCATGCTCATTTTTACAGGATCATTAATGGGCCCAGCGACATCTGCCCTCCACACGTGCTCTTGAGCGTGACACTGAATGCAGACCGACTCCTGAGTTAGGGGGGCCCTTGTGGATGAGACATTTCTCCCAGGGTGTGAGATACATATCATAATGTTGAAATACGTACGTAAACACTTGCACTTTTTGACATCACTAAAAACATTTTATAATCTGAAACTTTAGACCTGTAATGCAACAAAGTTCAACCATTTTTCTGTGACTTAATATTTCTATCAGATAAAATTAAATGTATTTGATAAAATTCGTTTATCACTCCACTCCTGTGGCTCTTACACTCAAACTCCCCTGTGGAGGAAAAAAGTCAAGAGAAATTCTTCCAACAGGGATCAATAGTGTCAAGTATCCAGCCAAGTCCTCTGGCTGCAGCTGAAGAGGTACTGAATGTACCTCTGCCAGGCAATCTTTGGCAGAACTACTGACACTCAAATCAATGTCTGATGGCACTGTTCAAAGTAAAAGACATTTATTGGTCTGCACTGACTATTTTGTCCACTAGCCTGCACACACCAACAGCAGACCTGAATGCGCCGATGGAAACCTTGACCCTTCTCCCAGCCGTCCACCACTGTTCCCACAGCGGGCCACAGACAGAGGGGTGGCATACCTCTCTTGGTGAAGTATTCCTGTGAGTATTTCCCACTCAGAGCATAGTGACGAGGGATTTTACCGAGCAACTCAATCATGAGAGCAAGATGGTCTGGAAATGAGGCACATCAGAGGAGGAGAGGGAAGAAAGGAAATCACGGAGAAAACCGTTTTGGACAGAGGAGAGGAGATGGCAAATGGGAGGGGAGATAGGAGAGGAGATGGCAAACAGTCATGTGGAACAATGTATTAGAAACAATGGATGATGACAGCCTAGTATGACAAAAAGCACAGGTATGGGAAGCCTGTATTATTTTTTTCACATTTACAAACATTTCAACACATGTTGGCCATTCAGTTTCATACATGAAAACAAACTGAGTCTGACTGAAAATGAAGCTTAAAGCACAACTGAGAAAAAGCCAATCGCACTAAAATGTGTACAGCATGTACTGGAGTCTCAATACAGGATGAGTGATTAGTAAAATACCCAATCAAAGACTGCCACACAACGGTGAAAAGCAGTGGTAGAACAGTAAGCAACAGACTCATGGTTATATGTGCTGTAGGTGAAAACTCGATTCACAGCTGCAGGACACGAGCCAGTGAACTAAAGGTTGAATCTCAGCACATACCTGACCTGCCGCAGCAGAGTCAAGTCAGTACAGACACCTCAAGCTATGCAGCAAGCCAACATTAACATAAAGCAAGCGTAAAGAGGAGAACAAGGAAGCGTGGAGAGTGAGTGATGAGGAGATGAAGAAAGGTGAGTGAGGAAATGAAGTGATGGCCCCGTCTCCAGTGCGCCAGAAAATGTGGTTTTGAGGTGTTAGAGAGGACATAAACACAGGAATGTTGGTACTCATCATCACATGATTCACATCTGCATTTCTTTCAAATGTGAGACCATTTGAAATCACTGTAATGGAGTACCTCATTTAAGTGTTAACGCTGTGAAATTGAAAGCAGAGTGCACTGCAACTTATTGTGCAAACTGCACATTAATTTGCAGTGAAGATCCCAACTTGCCATGCTCACTGTGAAACTCTTAGTATATGTATTTAATCGTTTAAATAATTCACGATGACAATAAAGCTCCAATATAACAAGACAAACATCATGAAGCTTTTCACACTAGCAACTGTTAAAAGTTACCTACAGTGCTAAAACCCTCTTACCAGTGACGCACATATTTCAGAAACACTACTAAATATAGCACTTAGGATTAATGCTGCGGAATTATAACAGGATAAAACAGAAAATGGACAGGAGGAAGAAATCCCAGCAATACCTTCATCCCTGGAATAATCTTCCCCAGAATGTGGTTCAAACAAGTAGTCCCCTGTGGCGAGCTCAAAGGCCTGAGGAGACAAGACAATCATCATCAACGCAGGAAAAGACATTGTATGAAGGAAAATGTTAACTTCCTCCCACCACTTCCTACACTCTCATAATGCTAATGAAGTCTTAAACGTACATTGGACCATAATTTTTTCTTAGGTTTTGATACAATGCAAGTTGATTGTCATCGCAATCTCTCACCATGCAAGCTGTGCTCCATATATCAGCCGGTGTGCTGTATCCGGCACCAATGAGCACCTCTAAGGACCGGTACTGCCGTGTCTGTATATCTTCTGTAAAGTGCTTGTGCTGAGAGAGGGAAACAGAGGAGAAGAAACAAATAATATGATTCTATAACATGGCTATGTAACACAGCTAAGAGACTGCATCCTGTTATAATGGGAGAAACACAGTATACACAAGAACTATAAATGCACAGAGAATCTAGAGAACTGTGCCAAACTGTGCCAAACTGCACCTGCCATTTCACATCAAAACAAACAATATACCATATAAAAACAAAGGAGATAGGAGATTGAAGTATTTCTATTTTGGTATCAAGATGACACTGGATGTGTCCCTTGCAGCGAGGCTTCATCCCTAATCAGGAAATCCCTCAGGTCATTAGCAGACTACTCACCACCCAGCAGGCATTTCCCAAGTCTGCAATCTTGACCTTGATCTTGTCTGCATTGAGTGGCTCAAGGGGGTTAACTAGCAGGGATCCTGCTGTTAGCTTTCCTACATTGGAGCAGAGAGAGAGACAGACAGATAAGGATGGGCTGAAAATCTCATAAACGGAAAGTTTGACAATCAATATTTCAAAGTTCACATGGCTGAGCCTTTATTAAACTTTCAAAGCAGCCCGGCCAGAGCAAACAGTTCAGACAAAACCTTTTTGCAGTTTGTAGATGTGCTGGTTTTGACTGACTGACCGTTTCTCAGGCTTTCCTGGGTTCTATATTCATAGTCAGGCCCATCCTCTCCCTCCTCCTGCAAAAGGCTTTGCTCCAGCTCTCCTTCTTCCAGCCCAGCAGGAAGGTGTCGTTCAGTAACTCCACTGCCGTGAGCGCCCCTGCCTTCAGTCTCAGTGTCCAGCTCGTGGAGATCGGCAAAGTCCACACCGTTGGGGATGGTCTGGACAGGAAACTCCTTGTGTTGTTGTTCCTCCTGACTGACACATTTCTCCGAGGGCTCTGAATTGCCATTGTGTTGGTCTTCGTCCGTCCACTGGGACTGTCTCTGCTCCACCTCTACATGGCCATTACAGTTCACCTCCGACAGCCCCTCTGGTCCCACCCTCATGAGGTCTGCAAGCACACTGCTCTCTGCCAGTGTAAGAACAGGAAAGATGACAATTCTTTTTTTTTTTTTTTTTTAAATAACTCTCATACCAGGAATTTTATCACTGTATTAACACCACAACAGTAATAAAAGTAAAGCACATATACTTGTTGACTTCTTACCCCCTTTTTCCTCATTTCCTAGCTCCTGAAGAGACACCTGTCTGAGAGGGGCACACACCCGTCCCTTTGGAGACTGTGGATCCTCGTCTTCATCATCTTCCTCCTCTCTTGTCTCTGTGGTCTTTTCCATTTCCTCCAGGTCCAGGATGCACTTTTCCAACAGCTCCGCCTGTCGCTTCTGCTTCTTTTTTAATTTCTTCTTCTTGTTCTTCGACATTTTTACTGTCTGTCAGAGATGAACACAGGAAATAAGAGGAAGCTCTCCTTGACAGCCGCGTATTGTTGGGACTGCTTAAAAAGTATGTTACACTGAAAAGGGTTGTACCTGTTTTGGAGCAGGTGCTGTGCTTACTGAAAAGAGAATATGAGATGAGTACAAACTGTTATCAAACTCATCAATGTACATGTGAAATGCGTGTGCGTGTGTGTGTGTGTGTGTGTGTGTGTGTGTGTGTGTGTGTCGTACTTGCTGAACCAGAGGGAGGAGGTGCCCCAGCCCTCTGCCACTCTGTGGCCTCTGCTGCGAGCTTGCGGACATAAGGCTCATCGACACTCATCAGGATGTTCTCTGGCTTGATGTCTGTGTGGATGATCTGACACTTTGTGTGCAGGTAGTCCAGGCCTTGGAGAACCTAGAAAATGAATGCATGGGAGATGATTAACTGACTGTCAAACATTGTCAACATTTGGGCTGAACTGAAATACAAACTTTTTAATATTCCAATGTCTCTGTTTCAACGTATTCTCTAAGTCTCTTTTGGTTTTCCTCACAGTTAAAATATATGGAAGAAATGGTTGATACACTTGTACATCATAGGGACAGAAATGCAGTCAATGAAAGCAAACGAAAAATAAAATCTTTGGAATAATTTACAATGTAAAATCAATTATCTGAGCATAAATAAAGAGCAATACTTAGTGGCAATGTGTGTCTGCGTACACATTTCAATATTACTAAATCAGTTCCTCGTTCAATCATGACAAAAGCTCCTTGGCTCTTTACAATTCTGTCATGTTAAGAGGCAGGTTTGACTTGCTCACTGTCTGTATTTTCAGTCATCACAACATGCTCTGCCCTGACTGGTTCCCACCCATCACACAGCCTGGAGGCTACATGGGTGCTGTAAACTAGTGGAAGTAATGACTGCACCTTCACCACGAATCACCTGCATACGAAACTGTGAATTCCGTGTTACCTGTCTTATGATGCTCTTCACGCACGGCAGGGGCAACCCTTGGTAATTGGACTTTATTATCCACTTTAATAAATGATGCCCCAACACCTCAAAAACCATGCAGACATCTGAAGACCACAGCAGTCAAGATAGTAACGATGAAATACAAGAAAAGTCAAACTGAAAACTCATTAGCAGAGAATTACTAAACATGTCAAGGTCCTGTGGTCATTCGCTTACACGAGGAGTAGCATTATTTATACTGAAAAGAGGGCAGGTCATGAGAGTGCAAACACTACAGTGTTGTTAGGGAGTCTCATATTACAGCTATAGCTGTCCCTGTGGCATTCGCGGGATCTTACGCAGCCAAAGTGTTATGATAGGTGGAGGTCTGTCTAGGACATACAAAGGTTCCATTTAGTCCAGCCGACACCTGCTGTCTACTTTGTTACTTGTACACTGCTTTCCAGCTAAATTTGACACCAATAATTCTTGACCTGAAAAAGTATTTTCTAAGAATTAATAAACTTTCTTTTCTACTCTGAGTCATGAAAGACAAGGAAGCAATTTGCATTATTTGGCTGTAAAGGATACGAGTTCCATTGACACCAGAGATCTTGAAGTCATCTAGCAGCTGGACCACCATCTCCCGCTTGGGGTCATCGGGGTCTGAGTTTCTTACCTGAGGACAAAGAAAGGGAACAATACAATCAAAACAGTGAGGATTTAAACTTACCAATATCTGACCGGACCAATAGAGGATTGGCATGTCTCTTCATCTGTAACCATGTAACACTGCTTAAACACACATGCCCAACATGCTGAAAGTTGTACTGTACATTCAGTCACACACCGTGTAGACTCTGTCATGACTTTTACTGGAAACTAGTGAAAGCCATAGCTCAGCAACTTACAGATCTGAGGAGTTTGATCTCATCCACTGCTGTCTCTGTGTAATGCTCTGCACTCTTCACCACCTTCATTGCAACAAACCTCTTCACCCTGCAACCACAGACCAAGTGACGTTCGCTAACAGGAAGCACCGAAAAAGGTCCTACTACAACAGTCTCAGAGTCATCTTTGTTATCCAACTTCAGGTGTCAAAAACAAAATAGTGCACTAAGAATATGCAGTAAAGCGTTTCTCATACTGGATGTCCCAGGCGAGCCACACGGTGGAGAAGTGTCCCCAGCCCAGTTTCCGGATAACATGGTATTTTCCGTTGTAAAGGTCTCCTACTTTCACATGGTGGTAACCACCTAGAACAGAAGAAAATGCACATCAACTAAATCAACACACTCAAATGTTTCAGTCTGGTTATCCACAATAAGTGTGTATGTGTGTGTAAACATATAGAGTAAGACAAGACTCACCTTTGCAGTAGTCATTAGGATCCTCCTGCTCCTCATCATCAGAGCCGAGAATCTCCTCAGGTTCCTCGGGCTCCTGAGGTGAGGCTTCTAGCTGGGGCTGCTGTCGAGATCTGGGATTGGCTGGCTGCCTGATGGACAAGCACACCAACCATTATAGACTTCATTAGGGACACAGTCCCTAACATATTCTTTCTTGCCTGAGTACATAAGTCCTTTGAGCATTAACCTTTGCAGCACCTCTTACCAATTACCTGTCATTTAATTATAGAAATGCATTCCTATTTAACAAATGTTTCACAAAGGTAACAGAAATGTTCCACTTCTTTTCAGGAGTGTGTTAACAGTTAACCTTCATCAGCCTCCACACTATAAATTTAATAACATTCAAATCTTATCTTTAAACCTGTGAACTTGTGACTGGTTGTTAATTTGAATCGTCACGTGGGAATTAAGTTGAAAGCTCTGGTGTACCTGCTGTGTCTTGATTTGGCCTCGATGTCACCAAAAGAAAGCTTTGTAAGTTTCTGTCCGGGTCTAACCAACTGAATTTAAGCTACACTATTCATTTAAATACATTTTAAACACCATTCAGAATCTTCCATCATTTGAATGACTTTGAACTTTCACATAAACTCAGACAAAAACAGGTTTGTCCAAAGCTAATCTACACGGCTGGTTTTGGCAGATTTTTATTGATATGTACCTTTTTTAAACATATAAACACAAACAAACAACAGCTTGATAGAGGCTGTAAAAAGCAATGCAAGCAAATACACCTTCGGTTATATAAACATATTTCAGGTGTACAATGCCTTTTAAGTGCTGCTGATTATTGAAAGAAGCATCTGTATTTTTACATCTTGCTCATGCAGGCCATGAAAAGAAAAATCGTATCAAAACCCTCCTGCCACAGCAGATCCACACTGACCATCGTCCTTCCACAGATATCACACTTAAAGACACTAAAGCATAGGAAACATTTAAGGAAGTCTTTGCTGCAGGTGACATTTCTTAATGCCAGCTATTCAGCTGTCCACACATGTCTGAATAAGAACGGCTTTACTAATTTTACTGCAAGTCCATTTTAGGCCAAGTGTCTGCTGTGTATCTGTATCATGTATGAAAATATAAACACTGCTGAATCAGGCCTTCACTACGTGGTATATAATAAATCACTGGGGTCAGAGGCAAGAAAGCTAAACTGCAGCTGAATTAAAAAGAGAATGCATCATCATTAAGAAAAAGATAAGGGTAGGAGCCTGTGCGCCACTGGTGTCCCACAATTACAAAGCAATTATTTTGTCATTATGTCAGGCTGTCAGATGGAAGCGACAAAGTCCAACGAGAACAAGCCATAGAAGACTGAACTAAAACTAAGACGTTAATAAAATAATATCAAGAGTATAGCTCAAAGTTTTGTAGACTATTACGGAGAAAAGCTAGACCCATACATCATATTTTATTGCACAAAAAGTCTTGACACCCCCCCACCCCCACCCCACCCCACCCTACAAAAAAAAAAAAAAACTTGACAAGAAAGTGTCAGTGCACGATTAATGATCGAGATGTGGCACATGAAGAATGGGCTCGGCCTGAAATGAATATCAAATTATAGGTTCACTGTGTGCAGACCTTTTTCATCTGTATTTACTGATGTTTTGACCATAATAGCAGCTAAAAAATGATCAAAGCAGAAAGCAGGCATCACAGGACAATAGGGTGGTCTAGGGTAATATATAGGGAGAATGTACTTCACTTTTTTAATGAGATTTTTTTTATCCTTCGTTTGAGGTTTCATTAATTTAGTCATACAAATCTTTGTGAAATATAAATATAATGGTTCTGGCATTTCAACCAAGCACAACAGGGTAATTTGACAGCCAATGTGTAAGATCAAAAATGTATTGGTCTTATAACGAAAGCTCAGAACATCCTCAATCACAGAAAACCATATACGCTCATTTTCTGTAGTAATAAAAATCATATTTATATACAAGCATTTTGTCTCTGTATATATATATGACAACCTATAATCTGTGTTTGCCAACAGTTCAGTTGCTAATATTAACTTGAAAGCCAAACAGCCTGATGTTACTTCCTCCACAGAGGAGATTAAGGCTGCTCATCACTATGGGAGCCAAGAGAGCTGAGATCACATTCAAATAAATTCCAAAACTGGTCTGTAGTGTCTCACAAATGGGCTGCTGGTTTCCACATAATCTGCAAATTCATGCCTGACACAGTTATTCGAAGCAAAAAGCTTTTAAGCATGTTTGTGCACCAATGACAGAACAAACAGCTGCAATTAATTACTGAATTATTTTAACTGAATTTAGACTTTTTAATGATGGCTTTTCCATTTAAAATGCATTTGCTACTCGTGAATTACTGCAATTCTTGTAATAATTATAACACATTTGTAGGAGGCAATCGGAATTGGTACTAATAATGAATATATGCAGTTCTCATACTCACAGCTCATTACCTATCGAAGAATGAAGACAAGGCTGAACCAAGGGAATATCATTACTTAAATGCGGAGCCAGACACAATTCCAATTAGTCATTTCAAGAAGAAAAAAAAAAAAACATGGTTGCACTTTTGAGTGAGAGGTCCAACTTTTGGTTCTCATTACTTTCGGTGTGAAGGCAAGTGTGTGGTCTAATTTTTAAGTCGTTCTGATACACATTTCCTCAGAGAATCTTACATTAAACCGATATTTATCTTGACAACTGATTCAGCACTATAGCCGGTTCACTCCACTGTGTCCACAAGAAGACTGAGAGTGTTTACTGCTCGTCTTTATATAAATGGTGCTCAGTATGCAAGGATGACTGTGGCATGTAACAGTACTGTTTTAAATTATATCTTGTTTCTTAGTATCAGATAATTCTTAAGCCTGATGGACATGCAAGTTTCAGCCATGAAAATAACACTATCAGGAGATGAGTATCTGCAATAGTGCTGTTTTCAGTGAAACACCATGCTTCGGTGGGCTGATGTGGGCTTCTTCATTCTCTCGTTTTAAATATAGCACAGGCTGTTATGCAACACTCCAGAGGATGCCACTGATGGCATGATTAGTAGATTGTTAGGTACACCAAAACAATCAGTATTGGAGATCAACGCTTGAACGGTCTATTTTCATCTCTATTTGTTGCATTATCTTAATGCAATCATTCATAAACTATGTTGATACTAGGGTTTAGCCTTCTGGTACTTTATTTCACAGTATATGCAGGCAGCTTACAACTTGCATCAAAATGACTGTCCGATGCTTTATGGATATGGCTACTGCTCTTACAGGAGCCCCATGAAAAAACTATAGAAACCAACCCTGTGTGTGCAATCTCATGATCCAGCTCAGATTATGTTAATAGGTCTTTTACTTCTTCATCTCTGCATCATGCACAGACCAAAATATGAGTGCAAACGTGCACCCAAGGACCTTTTGTCAGTTTCACATTTAAACGTTGGGACCATGTAGAGACAACACATGTGTCAAGACTCACTTTTTGCTGGTCTTCTTTGCTTTCGCCCTCTTCTTCCTCGCCTGCAGTGCCAGAACTGTCAGAAGAAACCAGTGACACATTATTTTTGCCTTTGTCTATAGCTGCCGTTTGATCTCCACCTCACACAGAAGACAAAAAAACAACATCATTTTACACTGTCTGATGTAAAGGACACAACTACCTCGCCTTACAGCTCATAAACTCAGGTCATTATGCGCTGTTTTGTATCATGTTTGCAAATACCAGCATCTAAATCACAACTGCGGTGCATCTGTCACCCAGTTTGATACTGGAAACCATCTAACGTTAAGTTACATCAATAAGCTACCCACATAGGTAACCGTTCATCTCCAGACTGCACCGTTTGTGTGGCATGAAGTAGTCTTACACACTCTGGTGGCTAGCTGGTCGGTTAATACAGAACCAGCTGGTGAGTGTTGTCGGTGTTTTAGCTTGTGTATTAAACAGAAAGAGCTAGAAAGCTGGACGTAGCTCGCTAATCCTGACATGTCCCATTGAAGCTAAAGCTAACGTCTGGAGAGCTAACGCAGCTCGCCCCAGCTCAACAGTGCGTGACAGACGCGTTCAATTAAACCACCATCTGAATGGATGCAGCTCGGCTAAACTTTACATTTGTGACACCCACTGCAGTGTAGACTCACACAAACACACACATACACGGGCTAACGCTGCTCACACAGTGTGCGGAGTGTCGGTGTAAAGATTTACCTTTCCTCTCCATGTTGGCTGGACCCGTAGCTTAGCCGTTAGCTACACCACCAGTGATCGAATGTTCCACGCATGCGCACCGGTTCGTTTCGCTCAGGGTCTCCACCTGATCATCAAAACATCTTCATGGACTTTACTGCACTGGACCTGCGGGCAACAGACTACATGGACGGTTAGGGAGGCCCCTGTGTGCTAATGTTTGCTGTTGGGCCCCTAGTATGCTTATTTGGTAAACACCACTTTATTTAGAAAGATGTACCATGTAAGCACACCACCTCCCTGCCAGACAGATCCTGAAATGAGCTAAATCACCTGCAGGGCCTGACTTGATATTGTACTTAAGTGGTTCAAATTCTTAATTTAATGAATTTACCAAAAACTAAACCAACGTGCAGTGCATCTGGGAGTTTTGGGGCCCCTAGGCAGCTGCCCACTTTGCTCAATTGGTGAATATTTTTAGGTGCCCAACCTTCAACAGAAGCAAGCAGAAACAAAATGAATGAAAACAAATGTATGGTACCTCATACATATGCATTATATCAGACATAAACTGAACAAATTAAACATTTAATTCATTAATAACTTAATGTTTACAATAAATTAAATAAGTCTCATGCTGAATGTAGGTATTTAACAAAAACTGCTGTGTCAAATGTCTAATATACTCAGTTTATTAGGCGCACCTAGCTAAAACTAATACAGTCTAATGCAACAGTCCTGCAATAAATCCTCCTTCATGAAGTTTTTAATGTTCAGTTTTCACTGAAACTTTCAGGGAGGTGTTTGGTGCCCACCATGCTCATATTTTCTGCAGCTGTAGCTGTATGATCATTTTGGAGGATGTAGTGTGTGGTGCTGTTGAAATGTTTTGCATTATACAAAGAGTTGATTGTGTTATTTAGTCTACCCTCACTGGACAAAATAATAGAAACACCTGTCAGTGTAATGCAATACAGCTGAGCGTATGTAAACATGTATTATACTCTACATTCATCTGTACTATTGAGCAGACCGTGATGCCCAGCAGACAAAGATGATAGACTGGACAGTAGAATACAAAATGCATTTCATTCTCACCCTTTTTCAACTCACACAGGAGGCACTTTCTGTCCTCCTCTGGGACTGAATGGAAGTGTCCAGTTTCCACAACAAAAGACAGGATGTCAGATCTTAACTGAGCACACAGACCTTGAAGTTCTGCTCAGGTTAAGGGTGACACATTGCTTGGGATGGTAACTGTGGTTTGCTTAATAATTCTTCTGACCATTTTCTTAAAGTAACAATCGCTACATGGAAACCTACTGTATTTTATATTTAAATATATATTATTATTATTATATTAAATATATACTATAAATCACATTTAGAAAATGACTATACAGTTTGGCAATCCAGCCTTAGCCAATAGACAGTGAACAGCCTGCTATATATAAATATGTTATGTAGTATTACTGGTAGGAGTGCTAACTCATTTTAACCTTTTTATTCACTTTTACTGCACGGCCGTGGCTACAGTATGTTGACTTCAATTATGTCAGAGAAGTAAAACTGGCAGGTGGCAGTAAAGTGTCTAATGATCTGCTAGATAGAAGTTTAGCTGCTCATATGACTTCAACTGAATAGTAAATGAAAAATCTTTGAGTTCTGGGCTGATGAATGGAAAAGAGAAAAAACCAGGTGAGGAAAAATATATTTTTGAAAGAAACAAAAAAAATGTAATTGTTTTTAACCTTCTTACCTTCTGAAGCCAAATTAAATCCTTTTGATGAACTTTTAAGCCCTGCAGATACCGCAAAGTATCTGTGCCCTGAGGGTCCATTTTTTATACTTACAAAGACAATAAATTGAGTATGTTTCACTAAGTTTGACATTAGCAGCGGTGTGCACAGAGGTGATCACCCAGAAAAACTTTGCATCCTCTGTTGACATTCTCCAGTCACCTGAGGAAGAGCTGCTGTTCTGTTTTTCCTCACATATCGCACTGTTGCACAAGCATCACAGTCATCAGATGTGCGCTGTCAAGCACAATTTCCAAGCCTATTTACTCATGTCACTGTAGTCACTGTTCCTATTGAAACACGAGCCAGTTGAGCATCTCTGTGACTGAAGCTCCTGCCATCCGTGCCCGGACAATGAACCCTCTTTTAAAAAGGCACTTAGATTTTTTCTCGTCATCTTGATACAAAATCTGAATCAACTGGATGCTCAACAGTTTTATACCTGCCACAGAACAGGATGGGATGTTAGTTGCTTAATTGTACCATGCAGTGCACCTGCGTGGAAACGTCTGCATTCTCCAGTCATTTATTCAGGTTTTTTCTTTTAATGTTACCCGTCTGTATGTGTCAAAACAATATACCTGTGATAAATTAATATCACCTGATACCATTACAGCTCCAGTCCACAAACCTGGGCAGGGTGCTACGGTGCAGAGCACAAACAGAATTATTGTTATCAATATCTTATGTAATGAAAACTGTAACTTTTGGCATTTGAATGTTAAATACCAATATTGTCAATTGCCAAACAAATATTGACGACAATTATTTACTATAAGAAAAAAGGACATTTGGGCGAACACAAAAATGCAGCGATGATTGCCCTCCACACAGTGTGCTCATGTCAGTCATGTTAGTGATTGACCAGACAATCTCTGGTTCTTTTTCTGTGTATTCTTCGTGTTGAGCACATATACAACACTTGCCATCATCGTGAGTGGATGAGAGGAAGTCAAAATATGCATAAAATTAGGTAACACATAATGAATTTTCAAAATACAAAAATGTGGAAGTCATTGTTCTCTTTGTAAAATCATCCACATTAATTAATTCATTAACACTTAAGTGAAAGCACTGAGTATTGGCCCTGTTGATAAAAATTCATTTTGAAAATAAGGATATAAAACACGCTATCGGGACAATTAACAAAACGTGGGTCTCTTAAAAATAAGTCTTTATTTTGTTAAACAAAGGACTGAAGATAGTAGTTACTCTGCTGGACCGAAAATAGTTTACGGGATCTTTCAATTGCTGTTTATAAATACCACCTCCACAAAGTATAAATACATCTATAATCCCTCTTTTACACATTTAAGCAGTATTTCTAAAGGTTTCAGCATGACACTTAAAATTCCTGTAAACCAACAACACTCGCAGACGCACACAAAATCTTTAACTGATGTACATGCTAAAAGTGATTGCTTCACAACATAACCACAATAAGATTTAAAAAATATGGCACAGATATTTACATATTTTTGAGCAGAGCATGTACCCATTCATTTTTTTTTTTTTTATATATATTTCGGTGCCTTGTTGAAAAGCACCGTCCTTAAACAGTAGAGGCTCAGATTTTTCTGTGTAGCCAAAATATGTATAAGAGTCTCACAGGGAACCTTAACTATCTAAATAAACATTAAACGTGAAATTCCGTTGGCGAACACTAAATTTCAGTGACTACACAGAGCAGGCACATTCTTAATTTGTCACCTATCTAAAAGCTTCTGTAAAATCTACTTCTGTCACAGATAGGAAACCCTTCAAAGTTATCTCTTTAAATACAGGAACAATCATGGCGATGACTGAATCAAAAATCATATTACAGATAAACGGGACCCAGTGCTATATGTGACTACGTGGCAGGGTGAGTGGTAGACTAGCGTATTCCTTTTCGACTGATAGATACAAAAGCTTATTCATAAGTTAGTCAATAGAAAATTTAAAACACAAAATAGCACAGCTATAGGTCCAGGTGTTTCAGCATCTCAGAGTCACAGTGATGAGTCATTAAAGTCTGAATTTAAAAAATATCTGAAGAATATAAAATTATTTCAGCTAATGGCAAGAAGTGACATTTCCCAGCATCGGACCATCAACATTAGTGGTTCATAACAGAGTAATGATAACTGCTCGAGCTTCTTCCCTTCCCTGCGCTGGTAATGATCTCCTCCCAAAGGCTAATCATGGAGAATGTTTTCTCAATTAATAAAGACTGACAACGGTTGATAGGCACTCTGATACAAGTGTCTGAGAGTTTGTTTAACACTAATGCGCATGTATGAGGTTGTTACAAATTTGTCGGACGCTGGGGTTGATGTGGGTCGCACGTCTCACTACTCCATGTCATCCTCATCGAAGAGGGGCGGCTCAAAACTACACACCTCCTCGTAGGTTAATCCTGCAACAAATGAGAAAATGTTGTGAAAGTCCTCCAGTGTCAACTGTACATTATTTCCCTTTACACATTTTACAGATTTCAGTCATGAATGGACTTTTATATATATATATATATATTTTTTTTTTTTTTAAAAGAGGACTTACGTTTCCACTCTTCAATCTCCAGCTCACGGCTCTCAAAGCTCTGGTCGTACGGCTCGGCCTCAGGCTCGTCGTCCGGGTCGTGGTACTGAGCGAAGTAGGGGTGAGCCAGAGCTTCGGCTGCTGTTATCCGCTTGTCTGTGTCCAGAACCAGCATTTTCTCCAAAAGGTCCACAGCTTAAAAACATACACAACTGAATCTCTAACAGAGTCTATGATTCATTAAAAATCAGTGTCCTGTGATGTAGAGTTGTTCTGATTTCAAGCCAATAATACTTACAAAGGAAAAGGAGAATTTCGCAATAAAACACTGATCGCAGTTAGCAGGAACTGCACCACCAGCAAAGCCTGTTTTTTCTGGAATTACCTTGTGGGTTTGCACCAATGAACACGTCAGCAAAGTTCCTCTTGGGCATGTGTGGCAAGGAGCTTATGTAGTTCCTGGCCTAAAAAAATACATACAGTACATCAAATGTCAGCTCTCACCAGCAGCAACATGTCGGACACATTCAGTTTTCATAATGCTCACATTCTTTCATGCCACTGAGACTGTTCAATGTAGCCACCTGCATCAATCATTACTGCTCAGTTAGGACATTTCTATCTACAGCTGTGACTGTACTGTATCCCACAAAGATAACATATGTTGGTGTCAAAGCTGAAGCCCTTTGCAGTATAATTATACTCATTGATTTAGTTTCTTCCTTTTCTTTTTTCTCTCATTTTTGTGTCCCTGTTTGTGTTTATAACTGTTGAATAACATGAAGTTTTTCTTTGGGGTTTCTGACAGTATGAAGTGAGACACAAGCTGTCAAAAACTCATTCACAGTTGCTGTCGATAGCTGTGTGTAGCTTGCAGCAAAAAGTGATTGACAGCGCTAATGTGTTGCCTAGCAACAGCAAGATGTCTTAGTGTGATCTAAATAGGAGCTGCAGGAGTGAAAACATTGTAGCGCGGCGCTCTTTTTAAGATGTCTGGTTTAAGCAGTTCAACAATGAAGTGTTTACACTGTAATTGTTATTTTTAATATCCAATTTACGTCAGGATTTTTCTTGAAACTGAAAGTACCCTCTAACTGAAAAAAATCCTAGCTGCTCTTGTGTCCTGTGAGGGCTCAACACTGACAAGGAAGACATTTATTTTACCATTCATAATTGTCCTGAGAAGTCACCTCAGTGTAAAAGAAAGGCTTGACAGTTATTCTGTCACATAGAGCAAACAAATAATGTCAATTACAAAATAACTATGTTGAAAGTTTCAAGAAATGTGCAACAGAAAGAGAAAAAAAACACAGAGCTGTTAGTAACTACTGTATCACCAACAGTAAGCCTAGCTATTGCGCAGTGTGCATGTTTAACTCTGAAAAGATATTTTTACACTACTACAGTGAAATGACAAACACAGAAACGCCTTTACCACACAAGTTCAGAGCTGCTTGTGGCAATCGTTACAATCACATGCAACAAGCGTGTGAGACACCACACAAAGACGATGATTTAACTGGAAAACCAAAACCTTTAACCCCCAAATAGTAGCCCTTTAGTGGCCGCACTGCTCCTTACACCCACTTGACCAAAGTAGTGGTCCTTTTATTCCTGTGCTGTTGTTAGTGTGGCCAGTAAATCACTGTTTGCTTTATTTCTTAAAGATAAGCTAAAAAAAAAAAGCAATATTATAGTGTGTATATATATATGTGTACATATGGATACATCTGTAACATTATCACAGCATTTTGGGGTAACACAACATAAATACAGGATACTGAGCCAAGAGCTGCGTAGCTTTAAAAACAAAGAGGGAGAGTGCGTTAGAGCAGGTCTGACTGTCCTCCCGCCCCGGACTGATGTCTGGTCTAAAGAAAGCAACTGTGGATCCTGCTCACCTCGTGGCTGGGCATCCTGCTTATTAGAGATGCTGGGGGCGTTCCTGTCAAACGCATTATCTGCTGAAGCTGGTTTATATCTATGAAGCTTGTGTCAAGGGGAGTATAGCGACAGAGCAGAGATGGTTAAGAAGCTGCTTCTCAACCTAACACTGTGTGGCTGAACTCTAGATGCACTACAATGTTATGCTGAAGAGCAAACTTCAAAGCTTTGAAGCACAACGTGTCACAAAAGTTAAGAGGAGGGATTGTCAGATTGAGAGGAAAGAAACAACACAGTACTTTGCATTGTAGTCAGTCAGTGAAAGCCAGCAATCAATCATCTGTGCCACAATAATCTCACAGCAAACACCATTTTATTCACTCAGTTAAAAAGAGGCAGGAAGTAGGTCTTAAACCCATGAGGAAAACATGCTGTCATTTAGAAAGCGGCTGTATCAAATCGTCGTTCGGCAGAGCGGAGGGTTTAGAGCAGAAAACCGGTTAGAGGAAAACCTTGCATAACTTTGTGAACTCACAGACTCTGAAGATATTTTCATCAAGAGCTCGGGCCCTGGTGTTCCGACGAGCAGCATGATTAGCTTCAACTGATCAATGTCTACAAGCACACGGTAAAGGAAGACCAGAGGCTGGACGGGGGAAAACTTGTAATCTGACCGCCCTGTGAAACTTTTATCACTTCAAAGCCATGTTTGATATCCAATTTTACTATATTTACTTTGTTTCACACAGAGAAGATCAGAGGAGGAATTTGAACCTGTGGAAAAAGAACAAATTTCATAATGACAGCATACAATAGGAAAAGAGTGAAGGAAGTGGACAGCCCAGTTGTACACCTACTTACAAGCACAGCCGTTAGTCTGAAAAGACTGGCAGGGGGAGAGAAAGATAAACAGTTTTAAGCACAGACACTGCAGATTGATAGGCCCATACAAACACTGGCAGTGGTGCAGGCAAAACGTGGACCCGAGCCAACCATGCATACTGACAGTGTAGGAAGAGTTGAAGCACGCCAGTAGAAACATTAGAGCAGAGGGTATGTGTCAAGCCAGAGGGAAGTGTGGAAACAGGTACTACGTGTGTTACATTTTTAATATAAAGCCGACGACTCAGGCAACGCGATGATGGAAAAGAAAAGCAGAAAAGCAGGTTTTAATAAGTGGACACAACAAATCAGCTTCTGCTACTGTGCCTGCAAAAAAACATCATATATCAGTACTTTCACACCAAAGTCAATGTGTATTAAACCTGTTTGATTTGTTATGCAAATGTCAGAATCTAGCCCCAGCTATCTCTCTCTCTCTCTCTCAAATGGAAAGGATACGGTCAGTACCAGGAAACAGAGTTCTTCCAGTGAGGAGTTCTGCCATTATACATCCCACTGACCAAATATCCACTGAAACACAGAGAAGCAGGACACAAATATTTGGATTAGCTTGACGAACAACTGTTCTGTCATGATGTATAGATGAAGAAAGACACAAGTGCAAATGAGCTTTTTAAACAATAAATCAGCTGATAATAGTTCACTGCAATGAGGCTCTACCTGTCATGTTGTAATGCATCCAGTTCAACATGATCTCTGGGGCTCGATACCAGCGGGTAGCCACATAACCGGTCATCTCATCATCAGTGTGCCGCGCCAAACCAAAGTCCAAAATCTGACAGCAGTTTACGTGCAAAAATAGCAGAGTTGTTTGCAAAATATACACATTTGTGGGCAAATTCAGGATAAACTGGTGTTTTAAATGAGAGCAGCAGTTCACTGACCTTCAGCTCACAGTCTTCATTCACTGCCAGGTTACTAGGTTTCAAATCCTGAAGGGAGGAAAGCCATAAATGTGAATTTGTGTAATTTAAATTTAGGCAATAAGAATAATTAAGGTTGCAAAGTACATCTGTAATCTTGTTCTGGAGAAATATTCATACTTTTCATGAATAAAAACAAATGCGCCCCTTCTTTATTAACATTACAATTGAAAAGTGCACATCATTAACACCATGTAAAGTCAAGGTCCTGTTTTTGACTTCCCTTCCCTTAAGTGTTTGCACAAGCCCAACTCTGCCAAGTGAAAGATGTCATAAACCCCGACAGACTCCCCGCACCCAATCACGGTAAAAGACAAAGTGCACTTACTCTATGAATGATGTCTGCTGAGTGGATATACTGGAGAGAGATGGAGGAGAACATGTGCATTAAACTACAGCATCAGTTTAAGTATTGATTAACCACTGCAAAAATGTCAGAGACGCTGCAGTACAGTGTAAAAATCATTCAGTCATCTAATGATCATTAGTAGGACAGCTTAAAAGAAGGGATCTAACTTCTGTGGAATAGCCTTATTCACTTTCCTGCTGAGAGTTAGATGATGAGAAGATGGATACCACTGTCATGTCTGTCCATTCAATGTGTGGAGCTACACGCAGAACACATTAGCTTAGCTTAGCATAAAGACTGGAAACAACGGGAAACAGGAAGCCTGACTCTGTCCAAAAGTAACAACATCTGCTTATTAACACTTCGAAAGCCCAGGAACAATATCTGTTTGTTTAATCTGTACAAAAAACCCCAAAGTGTAAAAAATGTTTCTTGGCCAGGCACAGTGACTTTCTGTGCTCTTGTTGTTATCAGTGTGACGTTGCCAGACAACCAGCAGAGACTTCAGGGTCCTGTTCTTGAAATGTGGCTTAGCTAATTCAGGCTAAAACAATGTTATCAGACTAAAATAATGCTGTTTATTCCACCCAAGCTAATTTTGTTCAACAGTTTGAGGCTTGATTTGTTGACCCAGGTTGATCTTAACGAACAGTGTGCTCTTATTTTGAAATAAAAGTGAAATGAGCTTAATATAATATGAGAAGAAACGCTGATGCCTAACAGTAGTTTTCGGTTATTGCAAGGTCCAAAGGTGACATTCAACAAGGTGAAATGTAAACAATATGATCACATGACTGGAGTAAAAAAATATTATTTCCATGTCTAAATATAATTTCAAGTAAAGTCAGACTAAAGATATATTGTAAATAAGTGCATGAACTGTCATTACATTTGAGTATTTTTGCTCTTTAGTCTGATGATGAACAAACTGTTGTGAACATGTGAACAGTTAAACTTAATGTCAGACTGTTTCTGCTGCAGAGGAGAGAAAGAAAAGAGGAGAGGAGTAGCTGATGTCTGATGAGTCAGTCTGACTGAAATGCTAATTTATAATGATGGAAATAATTAACTGTTATTGGCTAGTTGTTCTAATCAAAAACATCGAGGTTTAGTTTTTATTTCCAGATGTGGTCATAGAGTCTCCTCATGTTATTCTGAGCTGTAGTGCTGAAGAAGAGAGTAAAATCATCATCAGTGTCAGGAATCCTGTCGGATTAAGGAATATCTGTTTGATTAAAATGAAGCTATAATAGTTATCATATATTTATTTAGCCTGATAAACCCATTTTAGAAGCTTTGTTTTAAAACCAGAGTGGTCATTAGGAAAGACTCAAACAGGAAAACTATTCCGGTGCTTTTTTATATTTTATATCTACTGCTCGTTATAATTGATCACTCTTTTGTCCCTGTCAGGATCCTGTAGGAATGATGACTCGGTTTTTCCAGGTATCTGATTGGTCAGTAGTTTGGCTGTTGACAGGTTTTGATCTGATCCTCTGAAGTTAACCTGCACCAGAGTAGGTTAGGAGTTCAGCATCAGTTACCATGGTGATTTCCCGGGTAACAAGTGAACCATCGTCGTAGGACTGAAAAACCAGAGTTAAACCTGAAGTTACCTCAATAACCTGAAATCCTGCTTCGTAGTACAGACCTCAGGACTCTAGTCTTGATGATAAGATAAGCAGATATGAGAGTGGTATCAATCTTATATATTCTATTCTAATTCCCAGCAAGAAAACAAGTAAACATATCTTCCCGAATGTGAAACTATTCCTTAACAACCTTACCTTTAACCCTCGGAGGATCTGGTATATGAGGAACTGCACATGGTCATCTGTGAGCTTCTGACATTTCACTATGTTGTTGAGATCTGCCCCCATCAGGTGAGTCACAAGATACCTGCAAATCAGACAAGACAGTCGTCAGACACAAATATCACAAGGTGTATCAATGTTTTCCTGTGTCATAAAAAGGCAGTTGTATATAAATGGATACATTTGCACTGCCAACAAATTTTTCCAGAGTTGTTTGCAGGCTGAAACTAATTTCCCATATGGCTTTGTGAGCTTAAACCGGTTTAGCTGCTACTTCTTTTCAGTCTCACTTCTCTCCATAGGCACTGAAAGGCCAAGCCCTTCACAAATGGAATGTCATTTAACAGCACACCCAGATAAATGGGCTTAATGGGACCAGATCAGAGCATAATTCAAATCTAATCCCAGAGCTGTTTAAAATGCCCAAATAGCACTTGTGGAAGAAGGCAAGAGCAGGATGCTACTGCGGCAGTTTTGCAGCCAAAACACACAGAGCCATGTGCTGCTTCATCAGTCTGCTGCTCCACAAATACCAATTTCATGAATACTCTTCTATTCTCACACAGCACAGAGAGCAAGGCATTGAAACAGCACCTGGGGCCGTAGAACAGAAACTTCCTATCTAAAATTGTTAAGACAGAAAGAGTATAAGATAACATTTTTCCTATATTGGTATTACAGAAGCAAATCCTACCTAACTTTAAGAATCCTAACTTATTTTACCACGTCCAATCATATCTCAGGTCAGGAAATCCTAAATTATCAGTTCAGTTCAGTTATGAACTTTTATGTCTGTTACCTAGCAGCCGATGCTACTTTTCTCATCTTATCCCATCTTGCTGGGGCATTTCTGCAACCCATTACATTTATCCTTGAAACGTACATATAACAATGTAACAAAAAGAACAAGGGTCACTTAACTTCAAGTGTTGGTAACATCTTTAGAAAAATCCAAAGACGTTCTTTTGGGAAATTTACAACACTAACTCGGGCAATAAAAAAGATTGAGTGGGCTGAGATAGCAGACAGTCTCCGCTGTCTCCGGCATCCAACGGAGCATTTTGTCCCTCTCAATGAATGAATGTTCTGCCTGTTGACATTTAGTTGGTTGTGTAAAAGCAATAAAAGAGCAGCCAGTGAAGTTAGGATAGTTTAAGATTAAGAAGCTTGTGTAATACACTTTTCCTATCTTAAGTTAGGATAGGAACATTGACTTAAGCACCATTCATCTGTAATGGCCTTTTTTTCCCTAACCCACCACACATTTAAGATAGGGTCTGAAAGTGAGGACGTTTCTGTAATATGGCTCCTGGTAATCCTTGAGCTTGTTGTTAGCAGCACACACAGGGACACAGACACTCTACAAAGTTCACCCGCCTTGGAAAAAAGGGGATATAAATAGTGACCTCTGTTTTCCGCTCTCCTATAGAAACAGGAGCACGGCTGGAGCTGTGAGGAGCCTTACTGCAGCGTTGTGACTCGTCTGTATTTTTAGAGCCGAGGGGAAACCACACTAACAGCACCTGCATATCTGAGATTTTTCCTGGATATCACACTGCATGCAGAACATTTCCAATGTTCCAGCAGATGTGCAGATAAAGGGAGTCATATTTCCTTCTGGCAACCTGTGACTCAGCATTCATTTTACAGAATGAGTTTCTGCTTCCACAACCCAGGACTCCAGTCCACACACAGTCTACATGTGTGACCTTTTATTGCCTTCAGTCCACCATGACATTAGGCTAATGGGGGAGGAGGGTGGGGCATCTTGAGAGGACAACTTTCCATCTCAATAGCAAACTGAGTCAGTGCCACTAAAAGTGTGAGGGAAAAGTTCTTATGTTCCACTAGGGATACATTACCATTCTGCAAAACTGCTGCATAGTCAAAGGGCACTCCGCCAGTATTGCACTTCTGTGACACTGGTGAGGACAGCTTAGTTCAAAAAAAGAATCAAAACAGATGCAGCAGAACCAGAGTTATCATCTTTTTTTATTCCACACAGTCTTCTTCCTTATCAAAACCTGGCTCCTACATTACCCATAATGCAGCTAAACCACTGTCAGTCAGTGATTCGGATGTGTTACGCTAGTAGAGTTCGTGTAGCCTTGAGCCTCTTACCCTCAAGCATAGATGAGGGAATTTATCTGACTTCACACAGCTCCTTTTTTAACATGCAGTGGTTCTCTCTGAGTTTGACCTGCCTACTGATTCACAAAGATATCAATTCTTACTGCAGTTCAATTTTCATGTCAGATATGAAAAGGTCATGTAGACACGCTGCATGAGAGAGAACCTGTTCGAGCTCTCTGCATCAGCCCCACATGCTTTGCATTAAAATGCATGTATGGTGATCAGACTATGGACAGCTCCTGAAACAAAACCCATTGTGAGTGGTCTGGGAAGCCTGAGACCACAAATGTGGCGTAAGCATCGATGCAGACTTTTCCACAGTGTTTCATGGCAGAATGGGCCATCTTGCCTCTTGCCTAAAACAAACACCTCCTTTGCTAACATTAGAAATGTATATACTATTATGAAATCAAACTCTGGATGACTACCAGAGACTACAAGTAATACTTTGATTTCCATCACACATGTGCACATAAAATAACAATTTTTCATGCCATATATTCATGAGTGTGGATGTTGTTTAGTCTGTCATCTCCCAACTAAATCAATCATGAGACAACATACGTCAGGATCGGAGAGACTTGCCACCTGAGCAAAACACTTTCCTGAGGGGAAACCTGGATCCCTGAGCACACTCACAGACTTCCTAATAAACTTTGTGGTAGCATAGATAACATCCTTGCACAAGTGTATATAATTGATCTGCATATACCAAACTAAATGGGAAATGTCCTGAAATCCTTTTTTTCTAATTCAATTCAAGATGACACACCAAACACCTATTGTATGTTCTCCTCTGCAGTTATATGGCTGAGGTCAAATGTGCACCATCTTCATTTCAGCTTAGCATTCCTTGCAACTACATGTTCCCGGTTTCTGGTCTTGGGAGTCTACATATTCTATGAGTGTTTATGTGGGTTTCCACACAAACTTAGTGACATGCACATTAGCTATTTCAAATGATACTGCCAATGTTGTTGACTATGGCTTGAGATATGAAGTGGGTCCCTGAGTGCAGCACTGCCCACTGCTCCAAAATAGTTAGGATGAGTCAATCGTGCAGGAATAATTTTCCATATGGGAAAATATAAAGTATGAAAAAAAATGTGCAAGGAAACCAAATCTGTCTCCAAGTTCTCAGCTGAAAAACATTCTCATGTCGGGAGTCGACTGAAATATGTCACAATTTGATTGTGAGACAAATTTGTCCGTGTGCAGAGAAGAGGAAGAATCTGAAATTCCACAAACTACGGGGGAGGCAGGACACACGTTTGAGGAATGAGTCACTGTCTAGCTGTCCACTTCCCAATTCTAACAACTTTCAACATCAACAAATAATAACTACCTGTTTGCAGCAGCAGCAAATCAGTTATGTGTGTCACAAAGAACAGAAACCAGGAAACACAGGGAAGGAAGCTGGTGGTGAAAGAACTCTTGCAGCAGCCTGACAATGAATAACTAACAGAGTAGACGTGAAGTATGAAGTATTCCACTGTGTTCGGCCTGCTGGCCTGCTGGCCCGCCTCCAGGTGTTTCCCAGCCAGAGCTAGGACTGTCTGCTGCAGAGAAACTGAAGGCTGCAGTTTGTCGAACACTCTTGTTAAATTATGCACAAGTGTTGCTGAGGTGACACCCTGACCCAAAGCCAAAGAGCACAAAGAGGGAAACTTGGGATTAAGGAAGCTATTTTAAACAAGCACGGTCAACTTACACATCAGTGAATTCCTTCAGAGAAGTAGCCGGGGAAAAGACGTCTAGGAGGCCGATCACCTGCAAAAATATGGACAAATATACCATGTCAAGTTAACAACGACAGGCAGCAGCTGAAATCTGAAATCAATCTGCAGATTTTTTCTTTTTCTTTTACACCAACACATTGTGAGGGCATTGCACATCCAAACTCAAGCAGTTTTATTCATGTTTAGCACCAGACAAAATAAAAAGAAGTGAAAGAAATGGACTCACGTTTTCATGTTTCATGTGCTTAAGCAACCGCAACTCTCTGTATGTTCTCTTGGCATGAATGATGGACTGAAACGGCCGAGAGAGCTTCTTCACAGCGACCTTCAAACCACTCTTCATATCATATGCAGAACTGTTAAAAAATTAAAATTAATTTTTTTTTAAAAAAAGCTTAAAACCCATCAGTAATAAACAACTTTCTTGTAATCATTCTCAATACTCTCACACAATTGAAACTGACAACCATGTACTCAACATTATAAACTAGAAATGAACTGGTCATTTTTCGGCACATGAGAAAAAATGTTTCATATGGCTCAAAATGGGCTGAGTTTGCTCTCAACACAAAATTAGGTGCAGTAAGAGCTGCTGAAGGCTGAGGAAAAAGGGCGACATCAGCAGAAAACGTCATCTCTCAGCAGACTGGGAGCAGCCCTGCCTGCAATCTGTCCTGCACTCTAAAGACTGTCTGTCTCTAACTCAAACCTAACACCTACTACTGCTCAGCTCACCCAATGATAGTCGTTACCAGTGGAAAGCCCCCTGTGACTGCTAGTGGGACTTAGAGACCAGAGGCCCATTGTGATTGGGGATGTCATTGAGTTCTTCAAGGCAAACTCTACAACATTTTCCATCCATATCAGCCTTTTTTTGTTTTGTTAATACAAATGAGCTATTAAAACATGCAAGATGTGTAGGAATGACAATTTCACAACAACCAAATAACAGATGGATTGTCAAATGGATTATCCAAAAAAAAAAAAAAGACAAAAGATGTGTAACTGGCTGCTCAACCTCAAAAATATAAGTCATTTATCAAAGTAGAAAAAGGATCTTCCTTTATGCATCAGCAATTATATTGAAATAAAGTATGAAGCTGCACAGAAATTGGCTGCTTTGATGGTGGTCCACCCTTTTGTACTTTAATAACTAAATATGGATAATATTGTGGCTCAGTAGGTGGAACAGGCCGTCCATTAATCCAGTGTTAACAGTTCAGTCCCTGGCTCCTCCTGTCCACATGTCGATGACAATGAATGGACCCCATATTGCTCCTGGTGGTGAGGCCTTGCATGGTAGCTTGCTGCCATTAGTGTGCAAGTGTGAATAAGAGATGAATTATGGATAATTGTGACATATAAATGCAGTCCATTCACCAATAATGCTGTTTTATATGAATTAGGGCAGAGTCTACCATGTAAACACAGACAATCTAAGACAGTGTGCCGTTTGAAAAAACAAAACAAAAAAACAATCACTCTGGTGAGCAGCCAGTAATCTGACCAGCAACAGATTATCGTATTGCCCAGCAACAGCACAGCTGTCCGCTTCCATCTGCAAAACAAACATCTGCCCACTAAATCAAATGTACCGCTGACAACGTTATGTCCTAGATAGTATCAGCACAACCTATTTAGGCAACACACCAAAGCAAAGAGTCTATCCTGTCAAAGCTTACCCTCTTGCCACTGAGCAGCATTAAGGAAATCCACCTAAAAAACCAAGGTTCTCTAATAAGAGGCAGCAACTAACAGGCATGACCTCCACTGTAAATGCAAACGCCTGTGCTGCATATTTGTTTACCATTACTGGAAATATTCAGTAGAGCTCCCTAAAAGATGAGTGGCTATCAAAATGCTTAATTAAGACATGTTATTGATAATTTGATGAGACGACCCATCATATGGATTTCCTGGTCTTACTGGCTGTATTACAATTGAGATATACACGTTTACAGTGACGATTTCCATTACTCAATAATGTGTCCAATATCTTTTTTTTTTCTTTTACAATTAATAGGTTTAACATTTGGTCTATAAAATATCAGAAAAGAACATCAGTTTTCACAACATCCTGACATTTAAGAGACTAAAACCAGTAATTTTTTTCTCCTCCAATTACTGAGACTAGGGCGGAAAGGATTAGTCCATTCATCAATTAGTTGACTGACAGTTGAATAATAATAATAATTGGCAACTATCTTAAATATTGATTCATCAGTTCAATGATTTTTTAAATAAAAAATGTCAAATATTCTCTTGTTCCTCTGCTATATATAATATTTTTAACCAGAATGTCTTTGGGTTTTGAACTGTCTGTTGGTCTGTTTGTGTGTGAGGGCAAAACCATTTTGGACATTTAATAGGCTAACAATAAAATCGTAAAAATAATCTGCAGATGAATCATGATGAAAATGATTATTAGTTGCATTTATATGAAAGCAGAACTAGTAGAAATTTTGTCACATCCAGAGCTGAAAAGATAAGATGATTAATCAACAGAAAAATAATCTGCAACCTTTTGAAAAAGCATCAGTCACTGTTCAAACAGAAGATGGTGAACAAAAGTCAAATATTCGCAGATTTTAGCCTCTCAACATTGCGGATTTGCTGCATCTTTTGTAAAGTTAATATTTGGGATTTTTCGAAGGGTTTATTCGGCAGATTAAGATTTAAATTTATTGTTAACAGCCCCACTCACATCATCAGTATCGAGGTAGCAAGCATGGACCACATAATGATAATGTAATTTACCTGTGCAGCCACAAAGTAGAAGTACTGAGTCAGTTTTGTGATTGTAGCAAACCCACTGATCAGATAAAGACTCACATACTTTGTCAGCAGTTAAACGTTGTTGTAAATGAGCAGTTTCCTGTAGTGTGTCTTATGTAAATGCAAAATTAAGTTAGAGAGGTTAACAACAGGTGGACAATATGCCATAGATAACAAGTCCACAGGTTTTCTTGTTGAAAGACACATCGTGGCTCCACCTTGCTAGCCAACAACCAGGACGAGCTAACCTAACTTTAGCATCTGCAGGCAAGGCCTCGTCTAAATGAATGGAGGTTAAGTTAGGTGACCAGGCTTCTACCCCACGTACACAAACTTAAAGGAAAAAAGTGACTTACCACACGGATCCGTAGGCGCCAGAGCCCACCGGGGACAGGTTTTGGTACCGCTCCGGCACTTCCCATATCGTTTTGTTGACCTCCTGTCGATAAAACACTGGTCTCTCTTTCTGCGACATTCCTGCAGAACGAACTGCCGACCACCGACTGCACTTTCTGCGCTCACAGAGGTGGGTCCCTCGAGCCTGAGCCCAACTTTCCCCAAGTTACGAAAATAGGGGCTAAATGAAATGTTTCTCGCTGTCAGAGAACTTTATATTCTCTAGAGTTGCGGGATTGCCTTCTCGCTAAATACTGCAGAATCACCGTCTGCTGCGTGCACGTTTTTAGACCTTCACGTCGTTCGTTCCTCTCTCTGCTTTTCGCTTTCAGACACCTCCGAGATTTCACCCCGCTTGCAACACGGCGGAAAGTATCGCGAGAAAACAAATATTGGCACAGCCGAACGGACGAGACGACAGAAACTGAAAACCCTGCTGCTTTCAAGTGCTACTGGAAAAAATAAGAAACGAAACACCTCCTTAACACAATAGTCAAAAAAGTCATAAAAATCATGAACTTACACTCAGTGGTGGACAGTAAACAAAAACATTTACTCAAGTACTGTACTTAAATATACATTTATAGATTAATTATTATTATATTATTATAATTATAATCCTATACCATATAATATACTTTACTTGATTATTTCCATTTTATGCTACTTTATACTTCCACTACTATGTGGAGATAAATATTGTACTTTTTACTCCACTACATTAACACTCAGTAATCAAGATATTAGGTACACTAGCTGATGCAGTGTAATACTACAGTCCTGCAATAAATCCTACTTTCATGAAGGCTATAATGTTGAGTTTTCACTGAAACTGTTTCACAGAAGTGTTAATTCAACTGTGATAATTTTGGAGGATGTAGTTTGTGGTGCTGTTGAACTGTATTGCATTACACAGAAAGGTGTTTCTGTTAGTCTACCCTTATTGATATAAACGGGGTGCACAAAATAACAGAAAAACCTATTCCTATAGTGCACATACACACACACACACACACACACACACTATTCTGCTAAATGAGTGTAATTATTTGTAATTATTCACATCTTTTAGTAAAAGCAATGTAAACATACTCCTTTACAAGTAAAAGTTCAGTGTTCAAACTCTTGACTTATGTAAAAGTACAAATTTAGTATCAGCAATTAATGTGTAAACAGCATTTTAATGTTTTAATATATCTATAAGCATACATCATAATTTATAAGATGATTATGTTTTGTATGTTAAAAAAACTTCATCTGCAAAGTAACTGGCATCTATAACTGATAGATAAAAAGTACAATATTCATTCTCAATTGTACTGAAGTAGAAGTATAAAGTAACAGAAATCTAATTTTGGAAGTAATTCTCTTAGTTACTTTCCACCACTGCTTGTAATTATACTTTATTTGCCAAGATGAGACATTTAAAATGTGATGTGGAAAAATAATTTCATGAGTAAAAATCTATTACTATATTATTAGCATATTCAGTTATTAACATCTTCTTCTTTTTAAAACTCCCTCAGTTTGTATTCATTTTTTAATTAAACAATCAATTATATAGGTTTTTTTTCAATCAAAAGCACATGGAAATACATATAAACATACAGTATAGTGGCATTAAGTAGAAAATACATGATAAAATTCAGGCAGAAGTTGTCCTACAGTCACAGACACCAAGCCATTTTCTAATGTCTGGTTCCAAAAACTTAAAAAGGTCTTAATATAGAGTCAGTGGTTTTAAGAGCTTCTGAGCTCCTCAGTATCCTTTTTCTCTTATGTACCAACAGCAGAATTTCCTATCATTTCATCCCAATATACAGAGTTACCATAAATGTATTAGGTTGTTGACTTTTTCATCTATAAATTCTAAAGGGTCTGCATAGTCAAAATTAGTCTTGAAATTAAAATCATATATGCTTTTAACATCACTGAATGAACAATGGGGCAGATGGGGGTCTCTTTTTACACATATGATTAATCATGTGATCACTCCGGAGCTGCTCTTAAAGAATACTCTGACACTTTGCTGTAGGAGTAAAACAACAAATGCGACTTATTCTTCACTTTCAGGAAGGCACTTTTTTTCTCTGAAGTTGGCTTTTTCATAACTTTACAGTGTAATTCTTACACTGTAAAAACATCATGCAGGAATGTAGTGGAATTAAGCCACCTCAAATCAATGTAATGTGAAGTTATATAAGGTCATTCTTAGTTCCTAAAGATGTAGAAAATGTCTTTACTTCAGAGTAAAACAAAATAATATCATAAACTTTGGTGCAGCAGAAAAGGTTACTAAAGCAAGCATAGCGAATATATTGCCAAATAGCGTTCTAAAACTGAACTAATAAAACAAATAAACACAGGAGACAAAAAAGAGAAAAAAATGAAATACATAGTAACAGTCATGTAAAACGTACACAGTCTCACACATCGACAAGAAGTGTAACTTTCTCTGTAGTTGTAGTCTTTTGAAATACACCATGGGCTTTGAAAATATTCCCAAATACGCGCAGAATATCCCCAATATGGAGACTTTGTATTTCAATATTAGGTGTGGAAACCTAACATATGCCAAAACTACTAAATAAAACTGTCACTCCTTGCATTATTTCAAAACTCCCTCAGTAAGCCTATATCTTTTGTAATAAATAAAATGCATTCACAGCCCATCTCTGTTTTCTATGACTCCACAAAGACCATGAAAGTCCTGTTGATCCTCTGATTTAAGCATCATCGGAGTCCTCCTCCTCTCTTTGGTGGAGTGAAGACGAAGACTTTAGTGGAACTGAGTCAAACCCATCATACGTCCTCTGGAAACACAGTGATGATAACATGAAGCATGAAAAGTAGCCTTGTACTGTAAGAGTGTGCGTGAATGGAGCGTTAACTGACCTCCCGTGAGAAGGACTTAATTTTGGTGAAGAAGGATTTCTTGGTGAGGTCCATGAGCTCGTCCTCTGCGTCCTCTCCCTCCATTATTGCACAGCTGTCTGCAGTGGGCAGTTCACACTCTTTACCCCCAGAGCTCATCATCAGCTTGGAGTATTTATACTGCAACCTGCAAGGGGAGAACGACAGCAATAAACAAAATAATTCTAAATGTTTTCATACTGTTTAGGTTTTAGCTTTAATTTTATTTACTACCACGACATATCTGTGCTTCAACAAACACCAAAGGAAGTGTGGAGCTCAGTAGTCTTACTTGCGTGTCTTCTTCCAGAAATAGCAGCTGATACTGATGAGTAGCACAGCAGCAATCGTTCCCGTGGAAACACCAAACTTGAGCCAGAAATCCAGGGTCACACAAGCGCTGACTTTTTGCACCGGTAGGGACTCTCCTCCGTAGCACTGCAACGGCTGCTGCCACACATAGGTGGTTCTCTGAAACAAAATCCCTCAAAATGTTGAACTGTTCCTTTAAATATCCCCATAAACCTTAGATGAACATCTGTTTGTTCCAGTGCTTCAGTGTATCTGTATCACAGCTACAGTACAGTACCTCTTTTGTGGCTAAATTCAAACCTTCTTGTAAATCATTTTATACATTTTTTTTCTGTAATCTAGTCTGACATCATTGGTATATTTAGAATCTTTAAACGCACAGTACGTAACTTCTGCCTCCAGGGGTCTCTCAATCAAAACACCAACAAAAGATGGGATCATGGGAGTTGTTGTCTTCACCACCATTACCATAATCTACTCCCGGTTTGGATTCCTCCAGTGTCAAGGGGTTCAGGAAATCAAACAGACCCCGTGATTCCAACCGTTAAAAACACGTAATAAAGCAGCGTCACTGTTAAGGAGGACAGAGACTCAGGGAAGAGCTGGAGCTGAGATTGATGCTAACCTTTGTTTGGATTGTTTCTCTGATAACTTATGAACCAGACGTTCAGGAGGTTTTTACCGGCAGCTGAATTAGCCACAGAGGTGTCCTCCTCTCCACAACAAACACACCAGGGGATTAAAACCACTAAATGAATAAAGCAGTCTCACTTTAAAAAAAAAAAAAATCAGTGATTTGCTGACGCACGTCGGCAGAGAGGGAGTAGCTGGAAACTGAGACTGCTTACCTTTGTTAATAAATTATGAACCAGGCGTTCAGCAGGCTTTTCCCCGCAGCCGAATTATCTGCAAAGGTGCTCTCGTCTCCACAACAAACGGACCAGGGGCTTAAACCCGGTAAACGAACAAAGCAGTTTCACTTTAACTAAAAAAAAAATCAGTGATTCACTGACGCTCTTCAGCGGACACAGGACAGGACGTCTCCAGCAGCTGGGAGCTGAGCTGTCTAACATTTCCTCAGCTTGTTTCTCTGATAACTTCAGATCCAGACGTCCGACGACTAAAATCCTTCATCTGGTTCAAATATAGAGCTGAAAACCACCAAGGTGTAAAAAGCGTATGTGGCTTAAAACTAGATAAAAGTCAATGTTGAGATCCCGGCAGGTAACCACAACACTGACCCATGCGCATAGGGGATGTGATGTCATTCACTGTTACCATATTAAAAATACGTATTTATCTGGTTTACGAATTACTGGAGACATTTGTGAAAATGTAAGTATACAACTCAAAAAAATATATAACATAGGTGATGATGATTCCGCTCTAGTCTACCTGTATTCCCTGGATACAAGCGCTGACAATCTCTCTGTAGTGGTCTTTGGTGCAGAGTGGACATGCATGCTGGCTCTGCCACAGAAGGTGGAAAGAACAACCATCACACGTCCCCTCTGAACAGTTACTGCGGAGGAAAACAAGGTAAGAGAGGTGTTTACAAGCTTTTTACACGACAGAAATGATCTCCAAGGAGCCACTTAGTCCACAGTTCAGCTTCAGAGAGCTCAATATGTGACCTGCATATGGCTGAAAAAACAGTATGTGTGTCAAATCAAATGCTGTCTGGATGACTCTGTGTCAGGTGAAAAGCTGAGCTTGGTTCTGGTGTGAGATACCTGGGCAGTGTGATGTGGTCTTTAGCGGTCACTGTGGGATTACATCTCAGTCTGATGGTGGCTGACCTGCCTTGTTTACAAGCCTGAGTCTTCTCACTGGACCTGGAAACATCACAAACATGACAAAAATGAAGATCTTAACCACCGTGGGATATACGTATATGTGATATATTTTAGACTGTTTTTGAGTGTCTATTACATTTCAAATGATTAAACTTCCAGTATCAAAAATTTGCTATCAAAAATATGAATGCATCACAGTGGATGAATGAAGCAGAATAAATAGTGATCCTAATTACTTGTAATAGAATATGACGTCTGGCAGGCCGGGCGCAGGGGAGAACAGCCAATTTGGAGAAGAGACGCCAGCCAGCGCCGTGTCAG